CTTTTCCCGTTAAGATCACAACATGAATGTTGATATAATTTGACAAATAAATCGTGTTTTCAATGTTGAAGATTTTGGATGATATTGAGTTAGAGACTTAGCTACTTTAAACACATCAAATGCGTTTTAAAAAAACATTTTTTATGGAGAAAAACAACAATAAGCATTAAAAATTACTTACGATGTCGAACATTCCGCCATTTTGAAAACGTCAAATCTAATCGCCTAAACACCTCCTGGGACGATTAGGTCGATTTGCCTAATCAGTTGAGTTAAATCGTCTCACAAATGTAACGATTAGCATAATCAACTTGGTTCACAAATTCGTATAATAGCTAATCGGTCTAATCTAATCGGTTCACAAAAACGCCTTTAGTTAATACCGACCTCGAAAAATATATTTTAATAGAAAAATAAGCTAAAAATGGGCAATTTTGGAACCAAATTTACATGATCTGCTATTCGGACAATAATTGATTTGGACAGACAAAATTTTGGACATTAGTAGGAACACTCAGGTGGCTCCTACACACAAGAGTTTTAAGTTTCTACTACTAATGATACCTTGGTACTGGCCGGATACCCAACACTCTCTGAAAATCGAATTTAATGAAAACCAAAGTTTGAGATGATATAGCTCGCCCTCTGCAGGGACTGGAACAATATTTCAATGTTACCTACAACTAGCAACCTTCCTACGAACAAAACAAAAAATACAATTTGTTGCATTAAAAGAGTTTGTTACATTCTTTGTTTCAGTTTCATATATTCACACAATATTTCAAACAAAGAGATGTAAGAAATGAAAAACAGCTAAGTTCAAAGTGGAGCCAACACAATAATTGTATTTTAGGTATTAAGCTTGATAATTACAAATATACTGTTCATGTTTTTATATATAATAAACGATATTATATTTAATATATCTCATGAAATATTAAGTAATTGGCACTCAGTTATGTATAGAAATTGGAAAAGCAGTATCTAAATGGCAAAACATTCCATCGAAACATAAAATGGACACATTTTATGTTTATATTATGACGTGCCAAGCGGGGCGATGCGAACAACTTTATTAAAAATGATAATTACATTTTCATCTTCCAGGTGACCTGCCTACGTCTGGTCATCTTATTTAAAGAGCCAAACTCGATTATATTTTGGAGAATAAAACTGCTTAATTTTGTGTTAAAAGCCCTTAAAACTCTACCTTAGAGCTGAGCAACTAACTCAATATACGTGACACGTTTTCAAACAACTTTAACCCGTCAGTCTTCATCTGGAAATGGAGCCCGGTGGCCCAAGCTGTATACTACGGTGACTGGATAAAACCAGACTTTTATTTTATAAAATAATGTGTTGGTGAAATTTACCTTTCATTATCAAGTACAACACGTGACTTGGGTCATGTACTGTATAGATCTCTAAAGGAACAGCAATAGATTATCAGGTCACCCAACGGGGAAATTGAACCGAAATCTTAAACGACTCAATATATCGAACTAAAATTTTGAAGCAAGGTAAATACATCATTCCTATATATTTTGGTGCTTAAATTTCATACGTACACTTTTGTTTCTGAGACTGTTAAAATCCAGGATGACCCCCTTTAAATAGAAATATTGCAAGTTTATACAAAATCGACAAATAATGATAAATTCGGATGTTAATCCAAGAGAATTTTCTGTTGTAGTGAAGACAATTACACCTCCACACCTCTGCATTGTGAACTCAACTAGGTCGCTTGTGGAAAATGCGACGGATAACAACTACCGAAATTCACTGTCCCAGTACAATACCAAAAATTTCATGCTCTAATTTACTTGGATATCTTTTTTCACGGACCCGCCTTTTCTCCTTGCTAACCCCCTACTGATCACTTTAAACCTCAGGGTGGGAAACACGGTTCTCAAACATATGTTTCTGTAATCTACTTCCTGTAACTTGTCCCTTTCATCAATGATAAACAAAAGCTCTTTAATCTATGATTATATTAAATCAGTGATTTAAATGTTTAATCACAATCAAATTTTATAACTTAATTTTAATCGTTGATGAAGAGAAATTCTAGTATAAGATTAGTTCATCTGACATTTGAGAATGCCAAACTTAGTCAACTACTAATCTCTAATTAGCTACATGTAGTTACTGATTATACTTAATCACAGATTATTTTAGACACTGTTCTAAAATATGGGCCATATAAGTAACTGCAAGTGATCCAATAAGCATTTTTCTCCGAAATAAGCAAGGTGGAAACAGAAAAAAACCATATTAATCCGAAAAAAAACCAACATATTAATATTAATCCGAAAAAAATAACGTATTAATCCGAAAAAAACAACCCAATATGGTGTGAAACCTTAATAACTATTATTGTCGCGAAACAAACGGGCGAATTCTCCTTCACTAGACATTTCTAACCGAATGCATCCAATTTGTTAGCACTTGTCTACCCTAATGCGATATGCAAGTGTTCCATTTACCGTAGGCGTAGTCGTAATGTTTATGTTCTGAGAAAGTGGCAATGTTGAAATATATGAAATTTTCAAGAGAATACTGGATTGTATCAAACTTCTAGTCATTTAGGCTAAGGGATGAAAATTCCAGGGATGTCACAAAGTTTTGGCCATTTTAATTAAAAAATGGAAGAAATGACCTGGAACAGACATTTTATTTCAGTAATTCATTTTCACGTACAACCGGGGAATCGAAACCACGCCAGTTGACTCAATGACAGACCTTATGATGCAATGCACACACACTTACCATTTGGCCATCCAATCCCACCTCATTTGGGACTCGGTAGAGATGTATGTGATCGTGTATTCGATTCCCGACAGGATCATTCTGTTACGCTTGGTTTGAAATATCTTGAACATTTCATATTTTTAGCAACAACTATATTTGTTCTGGTCCAAATAGTTTGAATAGTTTACAATCAAACATTTATGCTCGCAAACATTGACGAAATACATTTTTAATTTTAATGAACGGTAAAATGGGATTGTATGGATGGTTATTGTTGAATTTTATCTTTAGAATTAGCGAAAGGATATATTCACGGCACCACAAACAATATTTTTATCTATTAAATATTTATAAACATGATAAACATCTTCATTTATACATGAATTATCAGACACAGCTGTGTTTAATATATAATCAGCTATTTAATTGCTTAACCGATAATTGTTTGCTATGTATTGTATATGCCTTGTGCTAGGAATGAATCATAATGTATTCAAAGATGGATGAATTTAATGCTTTTTCAGACAATGCTTTTTAGTTGCCTAGGGATGTTTTATCTATTAGAACTAAGAGTTTCTTCAGTAACTACCCATATACAACTACATATACCAGCTTTCAATTCAATATCTTGAAGTATTGCGAAAAAGATCTGAAAATATGTCCAATGGCCATACATGTTAATGTTGGTCGATTGGGAAGGTACTTGAATAACTGAAGTCGGAAGAGCACAGGACAACAGATGGACTAGGGTAACACTATATGGCCCCAGTCATTTTATGACAAACCCATAAAACTTCCTGGGGGCTTGGATGACTGAATGGTTAGCACATATGTGTGCTGTATCATGTATCACAAGGTCTGTCATTGAGTCAACTGGCTGGTTTCGATTCCCTGGTTTTACATTGAATAGGGTCACCTGTTTAACTTCGTAGGTTTTCTCCGGGTCCTCGGGTTTCCTCCCACTGCTAAAGATCCTTAGGCACAAGTGAATTATTGAAATAAAATTGAACCATATGTTTGTCCCAAAATGACCTAGTTTGTGTTGAGTGGTCTTTAAACTCTCTCTCTCTCTCTCTCTCTCTCTCTCTCTCTCTCGATCTCTCTCATAAAACTTCCTTGTAAATGCTGATTTCATATATGTAACTTATTCAATTTTTGGAGCAGGAACTGGTCCCCAACCACTACTCGTCTTATTCTTGTTGCTAGCCTGCTTATTCCTTGGACAATTGCACATCAATTGATGTCACAATTCCAAGATGGCTGGTTTAAATCGTTCTTTTTAATCTGTATGCATGTAAACTCTGATTTCATTTAACAGTGTTTTCTTGCTTTGGTTTGTGTATTAAAAATCAGTAAACACCACAGGCTAGCGATGGCACCGAGAGTTGATTATGGTCTGGATAAGTTAATTAATGTCTAATTAATAATTTATATAACATTTCAGGCCTAAAGAAAGACCTGCAATTGGCAGATTTAGCTCTTGCAGGTCTTTCTTTAGGCCTGAAATGTTATATAAATTATTAATTAGACATTAATTAACTTATCCAGACCATAATCAACTCTCGGTGCCATCGCTAGCCTGTGGTGTTTACTGATTTTTAATACATATTGTGATGAATGATTTAATGTCAAAATGGATAATCAAGACTTTGTTTTTTTATCGTACCGACTTTAGTAACGATGATCAAGGCTAGGCCCAAAATGCAATCGCTGAAATCTTGGTTCATTGTGGAGCAATTTGACTGAAATTTTCAGCATATTCTCTTTACATTATCTATTTTTTAACTATTATAGTGAGAACCGTCCCCTTTAACTTACATCCTTCAGATCCAAATCTGTTTGAGCATAAGAACAGATAAAATCTGAAGATCCTAGGATTATTTTTAGAAAATAATCACCTCCATAATATTAATATATCCATATATCATCAGTTGTTTGTACCAATTCTGTTTCTCATGTGAGTTTAATACACAGTGCATTAGATCATAACGTCTGTCTCCGTTTGTATCTGACAAGGAGTAGAGTCACCTGTTCAACCTCCTGGGTTTTCTCTTGGTCCTCTGTTTTCCTCCCACTGCTAAAGACCACTACAGCAAGCGTGTTAGTCCCTAAATGACCTAGTTTGTGTAGAGTGGATGTTAAAACCCATTTCTCTCTATTTCTCTTGTATGGAATGGAAATAGTAAGCTAAATGAATTTTATTTGTTTTTTTTAAATATTAAAACGATTATTTTTCTTGTTTGTTTCAGCATGGAAATCGAACTTTTAATAAAGGAAGAATAATGAACGCTGCCTTTAAGGAAGCCTTAAAACAATATGACTTTCAATGTGTTGTCTTTCATGATGTGGATTTAATACCTGAAGATGATAGAAATCTCTACTCATGTCCATCTCAACCCAGACATATGAGTGTTGCCATTGACGAAATGGATTACAAGTAAGTGTCAATGCCATCATCAAGCCTGGACAGAAAACACATTGGCATAGACTGTGTCAGACACAAATTATCTCCTAATGTGCTTATTATAATACATGACGTGTTATAATTTGTGTCTGACCATGTCCTCGACAGGCGCCTTATGTCCAGCCTTATATATATATATATATATATATATACACTGTGTGATAATTTGTACTTGGACAAAGTTTGTGACAGGTGCCTTATGTCTAGGCTTGGCCATCATCTTACTATTAGTTTTAAAGGAAAATAATCCAGGCTTATAATTCAGGTGGCCGAATGGTTAACATGTGTTTGTTGCACCATAAGGTCCATCATTGAGTCAAGTGGTATGGTTTCGATTCCCCACTTGTATGTGACAAGGAGTAGGATCGCCTGTCTAACCTCGTGGGTTTTCTCTGGGTTCTCTGATTTCCTACCACTGCTTAAGAAATGAAATGAAATGAGGTTTAATGTCCTACTGTTCTGCTCCGACTGGGCTAATGAAGACGGGCTTACGCCATACAGTGTGCTATGAGAGTAATTTTGCCCAGGCAGCGGCACTTTGACCTACTCTTATATTGAATTCCAACTACCATGTGATCTTTTACATGCGTGTCAGTGTATACATGGGATCTCAGTTTTTAGGCCCACCACTGCTAAAGACCCCTACGTGCAAACAAATTAATGAAATAAAATTAAACCATATGTTAGTCTCAAAATGACTTTGTGTCGAGTGGACATTAAACTCATTTTCTTATTAAAACTGGTGGACATAATGTATATAAGTTGCAAACAGTGGGGATCATTAACCAAGTAGAGTTTAAAATTGTCAAAACGAAAAGAATTTGTTGATACTTCAGTTTTATTCAACCATCTCACAAGCTCTTAATATACAAATGTCCAGACATGAACAGTGTAGTTGTGAATATAGAACATATTACAGGAGTTCCTCAAGAAAAACTTTGAGGTTAGGCAGGAGGGTGTACTCCTTATCACATACAAGCCTGGGATCTAAACCATGACACTTGACTCCATAACAAGCCTCATGTTCTAAAGCACACAAGTAAAAATAGGAGTGATGATTTAATTAAATTTGGTTTGTTTGTGTTTTGAAATGGGTATCTGTGTCATTTAAAATTTTAGGCAATGAAATGGGTTTTAACAACCTACTTTTATGCCTTGACTGGGCTATTGAAGACTGGGCATAAGCATACAGTGTGTTGTTTGGGAAATAATGCCTGGGCATTGGCGCTACAGTCTACTCGATATGACGATATTGAATTTCAACTGTCAGGGTTCTTTTACATGCATACCAATGTGTACATTGGACCTCGGTTTTTTGTTCCATCTTCACCACTGACAAGGGGAAACCATGCCGGTATCAAACCCTCCTTGTTAGCGAGCCAGTGCCTTACGCACTAAGGTGTTAGGTCCACAGATAGAGTCCATTTTGTGGCCACAGTTGACAGTTTAAAGCAAACTATAATTACCAGTACTAAACAAACCAACTTACACTTGATATTTCAAAACAAAAATTTTATTGGGGAATGCTCACTAGTCTGCGGGTTCATTAGTTCGCGGGTTCATTTGTCCGCCGATATCTATTATTAGGGTTAGGGTTGGGTTAGGGTTCAGTAGTCCACCGATATCTATTATAAGGGATGAGTTAGGGTTAGGGTTCATTAGTCCACCCATTTCTATTATTAGGGTTAGTGTTGGATTAGGTTTATTGATACCCATATTTATAGTATTTCTTATAGCGGCGGACTAGTGAACCCGCGGACTAGTGAACCCATCACATTTTATTGGATATATCTTGCCCAAGTACAATTCAATACTTTATTTGGACCTTCATTAATCAAAGAAGTTTATGTCCTAAAATATTAGTCTAGTTTATAATATTCTATACATTTCTTTATTAAATAGATTAAGCAGGGATGCTTTACTTTTCCTCAGAAAGGAAAACCCTAAGCTTGTTTTAGAACATTACAAATCAAATAGTTTTAACATTGGTGTTTCCGCCATCTTAGCTTTCCTGTCATTCACATCTAAAGTGGGTTTCCTTTGATAATAGTCAGGCTATAAATGTCATATTACTGTATCATCAAGACTAAACAGGGTGAGAACTGTTTGATAATTGTCAAGTTTAACCAGACTCCAATATGATAAAAATAGTCTGACTATATATATATATATATATATATATACCAAGGTTGTATCTTGACTATGTGGCATAATGAGCATTTTCTGCTCAGGTTAAGTGGAGTGATAAGCAATTTTATTACTAAATTATTTACCAAAAGATAAATATGCAAGTGTCATCCACATGTATTTATTTTGGGATTAAGGCAGTGGAAATGAAATGAAATGAAATGGGGTTTAACGTCCTACTGTTCTGCTCCGAACTGGGCTAATGAAGACGGGCATACGCCATACAGTGTGCTATGAGAGAAATTTTGCCCAGACAGCGGCACTACGGCCTACTTCTATATTGAATTCCAACTGTCAAGGGATCTTTTACGTGCATGCCAATGTGTACACTAGACCTCAGTTTTTTTTGTCCCATCCGAATGACTAGACAGCTCTCCTTGTCAGGCCCTCCGCCCTGCATCACTGACAAGCAGGAAAATAAAGCAGTGGACATCAGTCTTATGAACTGTTGCCTTGTTTTGTACTCCTATGTGTTAAATTACATAAAATAAAATATATAACATCAACAGACTTTATATTAAAATAGTACACATATTTTTTTTTTTACTTTTGAGATATACATATGTATGGTGTGTTGTGCCTTTAACTTTAAGTGCTCTTTTTTTCTATTACAATATTCTAATTAGAGTACGTTGTTGTCATAGAAATCAAAATGGCTGAACATTTTTCAATTTAATAGCACGTTTACTATCGAGATTTCAATCTGATTGGCTTGTTTTAATCAAATTTTTACGCAAATTGTCAGTTTTCAATGTGATGTAATCAGAAGGTCGTATTAAGGTCAACTAAAACATCTCACGCTAACCTTGTTATATAAAGGCGTAAAATCTTGCAATGATGAACTGTAGTGTAGTTCTCTGAAGGGCATTCACCTACCATGTACATTATACATGCGAGAGAGAGAGAAATGGGATTTAACATGCACTCGACACAAACTAGGTAATTTCGGGACTAACACATGGTTGAATTTTATTTCAATAAATCGCTTGCGCGTAGGGATCTTTTAGCAGTGGGAGGAAACTGGAACACCCAGAGAAAATCCACAAGGTCGGACAGGCGACCCTACTCCTTGTCATGTACCACCGGGGAATCAAAACCATGCCAATTGACTCAATGGACAATGACAGACCTTATGATACAGCGCACATGCTACCCTCCACCCTCATTCTACATACTGTTGTTACCTGTATTTCATATATGGTTACTACAAATTTAGGTACAAATAGACAATGAAAAATATTATCAAAATTTAAGATACATTGCTAGATAAGGAAGAAAAAAAGTATTTAACAAAAATGTGTGACCTTGGGATGGGGAGGGAGGTATGCATCCAAGTGGAGGGAAGGTCCAACTGCGAAATGTTGTCGTTAATCTGTTTAGTGATATTTTGAAATCACACTTTTCCAGCGAAAGATAAATAGTTGTCAAATTTTCTATTTATTCAGGATATTTATTTCATCAAAAGCAATCTAACTTTACAGACAAGCAAAGCTTTTCTTGCCCTCAGGCTTATAATATTTCAACTTCATTTGACATAGTGAATTGAAAGTTTATTTGAGTGGTAGCTATCGCCTATCATGTTGATAATGTAAACGGAATGTTATTACTTTCTACAGTGTATTACCGTTTTGACGTGATTTCATCACATCGTTACAAATAAGCACGTCAAGATGGGTCGAACATGTAACACAAATCTATAATGTGTTTTGAGTTCGCTTGGATGGATTTTTCAATTAAATTGATTTCAATGGATTTTCCTCTTGGTTTTGTCATTTGGGCGAGAAATTTTACGATGAGTGGTAAATTCTTTTAGAACTAAATTAGTTTTTTGTTTGTGTTAAAGAGACACACACAGCCATCTTTAGCTAGTTGTCATGTCATATTTTGTAATTTAATTAAATTAATAAAAGCTGTCCCTTGGGCTTGGCGATAAAATAAAAATAAAGTACTACTTGTAGCATTGAAAGACACTGTCTTTCATGAATGGAGGGGGTTGTACGTGACAAGGAGTAGGGTCGCCTGTCCGACCTCATGGGTTTTCTCCGGGTCCTCCGGTTTCCTCCCACTGCTAAAGACCCCTACGCACAAGCAAATTACTGAAATAAAATAGGATCATATGTTAGTCCCAAAATGACCTAGTTTGTGTTGAGTGCCCATTTCTCTCTCTGTCTTTCATAAATGGACTGGTTTAGTTTCAGAAGCCGTCATAACTGTTGACATGCTTCAGCACGATAGGGCAGGAGCCAGCAGGGAAACAATTGTGCGAGCATGGTGTAATGTGAAATCCCCACACCAACAATCCGAAACTAATATACAGGGTAACACATCATGGCACAAGGACAAAAGAGCACTGTTTGGTCTAAGACTTGACATAAGACCTATACAGTGTTGAAGCCTCAGCCAAATTTGCTTGTAGATTTCATTTCATGATATAAAATAGATAGGCAGATGTTGTTTTGTTTTTTATTTAAACAAAATAACTTGTAGGACAGCACAGAATTATAGTTAGCAGATGTTTGTAAGATCTTTAGAACTGATAACGAAATAGTCATCTTATGTGTTCTCCTCAAGGTAATGGCCTAACTTCCTTCACTTAACAATTTTTTGCTATTATCACAATGAGAGCTTTTTCAATCATATACATCACCGACTTTTCACAGTCTGAAGGTCAGATGTTATTGATGGGCTGAAAATCAGTGTTATATGTTACTTTAATATCTAATTTGCTTGGGCTTATCGACTTTTATACAAATGAATTTTGTTTTGAGAGAATAAGTAGAAACCGG